ACTCAACTTGTCCTATTTCCAAGAAAGCATCTGTCTGGTACTGCAGTGATCAGCTGCTTTGAAACGATAATTTTTATTCTTGTGGATCCTCATTTATTGTTATTGTTTAAGAATTTTACTAATCTTAATTTTATTATTTTTTTGAATTTCTTTTGGCCCAAACTTAAGTAGCTTTTTACCCTTTTGTGCCTTTTAGATCACTTAGATAATCTACAGAAAGCAAGGTTCCAGGAAAAGGCATGTATATATGGACAATCCTATTTAGCATAATACTTCAGGATTCAAGAATTGTTAAACCTATTCAAAGACCCATTAAAGTATTTGGCAGGTCTATATGGCAACCAGTGTGTCTTCATCAAGTGATACCATTCTCTTCAGACAAAATTTCTTGAAAGACATTGAGCTGTATTGTATCAAACGCTTTGTGGGTCAATGTATAAATACTATATGGCATTTTGAGAAATCCTTTGGTTCTTATACCCCAAGATTTCATGGAGTGTTTCTCACTATATTTATTGCATTATCTTGTATCTTATGTTCAATTGATCTTCTTTTTGAGGAATTTTGAAAACTCTGCTTTCCAACCAATGTAAATGGGTAAAAGATTTCAATCCTGAATTTTTAAAACTAGTCAGATTAATATCGTATCTACCAAATAGCATTAAACAGTGCTATAGTGGGGTGCAGACACTAATCATCCTTCATTGCTAAACAGATGAATATCAAGAAGCCATCAACTGAGGAATGGATAAAAAAGTTGTGGTATTTCTATACAATGGAATATTATTCAGCTATAAAGAAGGATCACATTGAGATATTTATCAATAAATGGGCGCAGCTTGAGACCATACTCATAAGTGAAATAAATCAATCTCGCATGTATGAATACCGAATAGTTTCCCTAATGTAAGTAATGATTCAAATATATGAAAATATGTGGCAATCATGATTCCCCATTATGTGGCCTTGAAGCCTTATAAAATTTTCACTTATTAATTAGAAAGGCTTTATTCCGGGCTTCTTGATATGAAAATATTTGAAGCTATAGTATATGAAATTTTATCCAAATATCTCAAGGAAAAAGACAGACACTATGGTAACTATTATTCTTTAAAAAAATTATTTAGTTATTTCTTATGTTTATTTTAATTAAGGGAAAAATTTTAAAAATTAGGATATATAATAGTAACTCTTTTCGATTTCCTATTAACTTGTTTTGAAGTCCTGTAATGCTCCCACGATCTTGTTTTGACTGATTAGACTCTGTTCCATTCTGTGGGATAGTATCAGGTCCGAGGGTATAAGCAACTACTTTGAAGGCAGTAAGATTCACTAAGATGCCCATTCTGGTTTGACTATTGTCTCCTTTGGAAGTCCTGTAATGTTTACAATGTCTAAGTTTTATTGGTCTTGTTCTCTACTGTTTTGTCCAACTTTATAAATCTAATGAGATAGACAAATCTTTTTAAGGAAACAAGAGACAACGTTGATAACTATTGTTAATAACCGTATACTCTGTTCTACATCATGTGCTAAGTCTATCCTTGGTTTTTCACTGACAGCTTTGTTCTGCCATATTTGACTTTATTCTCCCCCCCCAAAAAAAGTAATAAGAACTAAGGAGTAATAAAATCTGAAATGTGTAAATTTTGTTGTAAAAAGAGAGGAAGGGGAAAAAAGAGCTCTAACGGATATAACAGCAAGTATGTATAGGGATGTTGAATAGCTGACTATATTAATGTTTTTGGATCATTGAACACAGCTGTTTGTAGTCTCTCTGTTTGAATGTCTACTTTGTATTCTTTGATACTGTGATTTGAGCAACTATTTCCAAGATGATAATATGTAATCTATTAACAGGTGATTTCTTACTGTTATGCTTTTTTTTGTAGTTCTGTATTATATGTAACCTTACACTGCTTTGTTTTGTTTTGTGTTTTTCTCTTTTTCCTCTTAAATAAAAAAAAAAAAAAAAAAAAGGAAGAAAAAAAAAAAAAAAAAAAAAAAGAAGCCACACTTAACAAAAAACATTCAGAGCACACTTAAAAAGAATCTCTTTCCAGAGCATACACTGTGTTCATGACTAGGTCCTAATTCAAAGTTCAGGTCAAAAGAAAATGATCAGAAAATAATTAAGATCAGTAAAATGTATTAACAATACCTGAGGACCCACAAGAACAGGAATCACTGTCTCAAAGCAGCTGGTCATTGTGGTATCAGACAGATGCTCTCTGGGCTTGTGACTTTTATCTTAGAAATGGGCCAAGTTGAATCATGTACTCATTTTCAGTACATGGACATTTCTTATGGAAACCAAAAGGAACATTTGAATGGATAAAGAAAAATTATAACTGGAGTTAAAGTAAGTAAATGAGCAAAATAAGCCAAATAAATGAAGTCAAACACATGCATAAAACTCACCAGACATAAGACACCTGCACATAAAAAGATACAGAATTATGCTAGTCATGCAGTGGAGGCAGTTGATATAACTGTATTTTGTACCAAATAGTATCCAGTTTTCTTTAATCTGAATATTCTAATGATAGCATTATATAGTCTTAAATTTTGAAAGTGATAAATCAAATGTTTGCGTATAATTTCAGTTAATTTTTTACCTATGGAAATTAGGGTATGTCTTCATATTGCTTCTGATATTCAACATCAGAATTCAGAAAGTGTCCTTGGTGTTTAAGTTCCTTTACTATTTGAAAAGAAATCATGTTTCTTTTACTATCTTTAATAACTTTCACAGTTGCCACTAAATATTTCAAATCAGTTTCATATTTGTTGGTCCATAATTATATTTCTCACCAAATTCAGAGATGTTAGTAGCTTTACACATTTTATAAAAATGCATTAAGAACCTTGAATTCTCCTAAAACAAGATATCACATGTTAAAACATAATTTTCAAAATTTTAAACAGAATTCTCACAAGCATAGGCATATGTCAAGATTTCATTTAGCTCCATCAGCGTGTTAACACAGCCAGTTCAAAAGAGGAAAGCATCTACTTCTGTATCCACAGCTATCTCAATTACATATCTATAAATAGAAATTTTGGCATCAGTCCTGTATCCATAGCTATCTCAATTACATATCTATAAATAGAAATTTTGGCATCAGTCCTAAGTGAGACCAGTTTTTCCTCTATCAGTTATTTAATGTAAAGAACCCATTTATATTAAACACTTGTCATACCCAAGAGTTTTAATAAGATGGGTGCTTTTTGTCTTTACAATTTTAGATCCATAGTTCTTTAGCCATCAGATTCATTCAAAGAGTTTGTTAAAACAGATTTCTGTGCTGCATCCCAGCATTTCTGTAGTCCTGAGGTTCGGCCTGGGATCCTGATGCACCCATGCAAGCCTGGAGAACCACTGAGATGAGCATAGGCTTGAGGATCTGCTGAGCAGCAGTATTGAATAAGCCCTAGGGAAGTCAGTGCAAGCTCTGCTTGAGTGCCCTGATACTTTCTTTGCTATTCCTTTTGCTTCTCCAAGATTAGCTACACCTGTGTTTCCACTGGTGAGTCTACATTGTTAGCAGCATAGCTGCTGTCTGGGAATTTCCCTATATCTCAACACCTCAAGTTCTGAATAAGGCTCAGAATAAGGCTCAAGCTCCCAGTGCCCTGCCCCAGAGACCTGGCCTCCCTCCCTCACCCTGTTCCTATAAGTTATTTCAATTGCACAGTGAACCAGAACTAGAAGTCTCCAGATCACTTGTCATAAACTTGAAAAGCACTCTCCCCCACCAGTTATCACTGGTGAGCCCACTTAGGAGAAGGTTTCAATTTTTGAAAGTTTGGAATCATATAGATATAATCCTTAAATTTTCAACCTGCCATTTCCTTTTCTGTTCTTCTGCCTGTGCAGCCTTCATTTCTTGAAAGAAGTAAACATTTTAAAGATGCCAAGGAAATTTGAGGACTGAGAATAATCACTCAGGAAAAAGCTGGTCCTTGTAATATTTTGGAAGATTTATAGGAGCCAGACTTCTAGAAGTTGTGGCTATGAAGTGGGTACCTAGAAGTTGGAAGAGAACATTGAGTGCATGTGCCAAGAATATGGCTGAGCTATAAAGGAGAGATTAAGGAAATTATGTGGAGATGTAATAGCTCAGTCAAAGATAATTTATCTTTTAGAGAGAATAAGCAGTGCAAAGAGAGTTTAAAAATGGAGCAATAGCGTTCAATAATGTTACAGATGTAACATTAAGGAAGAAGGAGGCCAATCTCTGGACTAAAATAGTTAGCTTTGGAGAGTACAGAAATATTTTTGTCAAAGCCTACAAGAAGGAATGAAGTTGCTTATGTCAAGTGGTCTTGTCAAATAAGAGACAACATTGCAGGAATTAGAAGTGAAAAACCTAGTAAATGTTAAGATAAGAGTACACTTGCTGGCCAGATCAGTGTAAAACTGATGAATTTCGCATTGGACTGCCTGCTACAACTTTTCCACTACACTGTACTCAGGACTGGTGGAAATAGCTGAGGGTAGAGATGACCTCAACATCCAAGCCTGATTTTCTTTCTATGTAATAGATACTCCTCTAGTTCAAGAAGATTTGACAGTCCCCATGGGGGCATTTTGTGTTTCATAATTACTACATGTCCCATCTGACCAGGAGTTGGATTCTTGTCATCATTTGCCTATGTTGGGCCTATGCAAAGAACTGAAATGTGAACTATAATTAACTGTCATTGGTTCCTTCTTGTCATAGAGAGAAAGAAATTCCCCAAAGCAAGTAGGCAAGATAAGTCCCTCAAGATAAGTCCCTCAAAGTTTTATGTGGGACTCAATTTAAGAAGTTCTCAAATAGTCTCAAAGCAGAACCATACTTCTGTTTCTAGTTGGATGTACTGTGGTATTTTCACCAGTTTTTTTGTTCAGGCCAGAATGCTCACTCCTGGAAGTCAGTGTGGCAGACAGGAGGGAAGAAAGCCTGTGGATCAGTCACAGGGAGACTCAACAGCATGTGTGTGTCTCTTTCCAGGACCATGAAACCTCTTTCCCCAGGGCACTCTCAGCTCAGAGGCTGTCCCCCCGCTGGTGCTTCCTAGATGGTGAGTGTTTCTGTACTTCCCAGAATGGGATGTGGGCTAGGAAATCCTAGGAAAGGTATGGATTGGTTAGAGTGCAACTAGTATTCCCAAAGGCTTCCTTTGACACTGCCTGATCAGAATTTGTATCTTGAATCATGTGGACTGGCTAATGTTGCGGTTACTTTTCCCGAAGACCTTTCCCTAGAAGCATGTTGATTAACTCTACCTGAACTCAGTTTAAACTGCTCATGCTAACATTTTCCTTTTATCATTCCCCTTTCCCTCAATCTGTCATGTGCCAATAGAGAAAGTTTATAAGTACAGATGGATACTAATTCTTGTGTGATTTGCATGTCATAGAACTTTTCTTTTTTTTTGGTGAGACTGTCATTTCTATATAATGTATAAATTTTTGTAAAAAGGAAAAAAATTTGAACTTCATTCAGATCTGCTCTGCAGAGGATGATATACTGCATGCGTAATGAGGTAGTTATTTTATGATTGCTTAATGAGTCCATTTGCCATATCTCTTCTCACTCCTGGATGCTGCCTGGTCCTAATTATCTATTTAATTACCATATCCATACCAAAGCACATTCTCATTTTTGTGCATTCTTGCTCATATACCACCTAGAGTATTGACCACACCCAGTCTCTGTGTTGTTTGTGTGGGAGTATAGTGTTCATTGGTTAGATGTATGTGTATTTGAGAGGAGATATGTGTGGAAATGAGTATTACAACATTGGTGAACTACACATGGTTATGAAGACAGACACTTATGTATATATGTTATAAAATTTGTATCCCACAAAAATCAGAAACAGGTTTTCTTTAGTGGCTCAGCAACTGCTTCTGAAGAGTTCCTTCCTCCACAGCAAAGAGGATCACGGTGATTTGTTATTACTAAATGCACAGAGTAATATCTTTTTATTTAAGAAAATTATGAAAATATTTATGTAGTTATTGTGCTCTATATGTAACCTTGATAAAACCACTAATGTGGATAATGGTCTTTGCTATGTTTTAATCACTTTCTCATTGCTGAGACAATCCAGACACACACAGATAGAAAGAGAAACAGGTTATTTCAACTCACACTTCAGAGATGTCAGTGCTTGCATGGTCAGCAGAATGACATGGCAGAGGACACTAGTGGACAGGGAGCAGAGAGGAGCCTAGGAGAGTGAGAACTCTTCCAACCAGCCTCCACCTATTCACTGCTGCTCCAAAAACCCCACTTGGGAAAGCATGTGTTTCTTATAGGACATCTATACGGTTACGGTATAAACCGTAACCATGCAGATACTACTCTATAGAAGGCTTCACTGAATGCCTACTAATGGTTAAAACGTGTTTAATATCATTTCTAAAATATTGCTGAGAAGGATAGAGTATGCTAAGTTCATATGGGGCAGACTTGACTTTACTCTTTCATTTTAAAAAGCAAAGACTATGTTATTTCTTACTGGATTTTCTTTGGAAAAAGCCACTCTTTAAACATTTTTTATTTTTTTTAAAGTTTTGTATTTTGAATTTTTCTCTCTTGTGTTCTTTTTTGATAAAAAAATCTACCTGTAATATAATATTTGCACTCTGTTAGGTTTCAGTTGTGAACAACATAATTTTTTATATTAAAAATAATTTAAAATATTTTCTGGACTCCTAAAATTTATACTTCAGATTTTTTTTAAGCCACATATGAAGCTCAATCTTATTTAAGAGAATGCTTAAATGTATTTTTTCTTTTGTATTTTCGATTCCTTCAGACATATACCTAGGGATGCTGTATGAAATTGAAATGACCCTTTAAGTCCAGATTTGGTCCTGGCCTGCATCTTCAAGTTGTTTTCCAAAAATAAAAGTCACTTACCTACAAGTCTGTTTAACTACAGTCTTTTTTCTTCTCCCTGCCTTCCTTAACTTACTAAAACTCAAGTGCCAATTCTGTTTAGGTCCTGCAGATTTTTAGTGATGAAAAAAGAAAGAAACATTCCTTTAGAGAGTCAGTCCTTTAATAATTCTCCTTTAAAGAGTCAGGTCTCAGATCTCTGTCTCAGTTTTCTGTAAACATAGTCTCTGCAAGAAGTTTAAACAAAATATAAATTTGCATAGAGGTAAGAACAGTACATTCTGGGCTAGGGATTAACATGGAAGTAGAAGAATTTGAGGTAGTTCTTAAAATGTAGTAAAATCTAGGTAGCAGGTGTGATAGACTTCCTACATATTGGGATGGCAGTATGGAAGACCGAGTTTCTCTCTGTGGATTCAGGTTGGCTAGCATGACTGGAACATATGAGTTTTGTTGGCACAGTGAAAGGGAGCGCTTAAACTTGGTGACAGATTAGATGACGCTGAATACCACATGTATTTTTTTTCTCCTAGCGACTTCTGCAGACCGCTTTTATCGAATAGACAGATCTCAGGTAAGTTTTCTTCAGCTTGCTTATGAAATTGAAAACTTCCTAAGGTCACATTACCGTATTAACAGCTAATCTCATACATTTTTTTTTTTCTCATACATTTTTCTAACAGCAACACTTATGCATTTTGGAATGGCATTCATAGTCCAAACCATGAACCTTTCTATCTTCATCTGTTTTGCGGTTCATGGACTTACTGGCAGGGCTTGACCTTGCAAATGACTACAGATAATAACCTGACTTCTAAACATAATCACTAGCCTGCACTTCGCATTGCATGCATTTCCAGATAGCTAGTTCAAGATCCTAGATGTTTACGTAGGCTGTTTAGTTTCAGTTCATCAGCTCTAAATTTCAATAATGAGCAACATTTTTACTTAAGGTTAACAAGTTGTCTCACTCTGGGAATTGTTCTGGAATAAATTGTAAAATTCAATATTAAACCTGGTGATAAAATCAGTCATCCCAGAAGCCATTTGGCTTTGAGTCCAAGCTGCCATGCACTCACACTGGCCCTAGTGAAAAGCCCGTGAGTTGTCTTCTCCTCCTCTCTTCCTTTTTTCCTGTGGTACTTCACATGTGAACCTAGGGCCTTCGCACTGAGTTATGTTTCCCACCCTTTTTAGTTTCTGTTTTCACACAGAGACTCCTGAAGTCACTAAGCTGCCCAGGCCAGGCTCAAACTTACATTCCTTCTGTCTCAGCTTCCCAGAGTGCTGGAATTACAGGCATGTGCCATCATGCCTGACTGGGAATCACTTCTTTGACAGTATTGAGGAAGATTAAGAGGAGAGACCATTTCCAGTTGCACTAAGAAGAGTGCAGTCAGTTGGAAATCCTGAATAAGGAACCCAACTCTCCCCATTGCCCACTGGTGTTTCAGGGAGGGACATGAACTGCTCAGGTTTCAAAGGAAACTCAGTGACCTTATGACACAGAATTTCATTGTACCTCAAGACCAAGCATGGTCTGTTTATTTATCCTTTGGATGGTGGATTTGAATGTCCTGTCAGTCATCTGACAGACTCACTTTTCTTCCTTAGGAACATTTGCACTTTGTGATGGAGATTTCCCAAGATGAGATTTTTATTCTCGACCCAGATACAGTGGTGTCCCAGCAGGCAGGGACACCTCCGGGCATGCCTGACTTGGTGGTGGAGCAGGCCTCAGGGTGAGTGTGCCTCTCTTTGGTCGATACTGCCAAGAGGCTGACCACAGGTGACTTCCATATCTGCTCTGGCTTTCAGTTTGACTTTCTAATGGCAGCTAACTGTTTTGTAGTATAAATTTTCTTGTGTTTATTTCCATCAAAGTCCAGCTGGATCTGTTGTTAGACTGTCTATGAATGGCTGTGTGTAGAAAACTTTATTCCCTGTCAAGCTGATATCATGGCAGAATATTTTTACCCACTACAACAACACTGCCCACCAAACCAAGAAAATACAAAAGTTTGCTTTATTGCATACATGTTTGTTTTATTTTGTCTGTTACTCAAAAACGTGACACTCTTGACCTGGTAGTTATTCTCCTCTTCCTCTTTTCTTCTGCACTGTTTTAGACTGCCTGAAGCATACTGATTATATAATTACTATACCATATCAAGCTCTAAGAGCTGTGAATAGTGTGATCCTATATTTCGTCCACCACTTCACAATGACTTTATTTTAAGTGTTCTGGGCTTGTTTTCTGACCATAAAATGCAGTAGTAATACCTACTCAGAGAATTGTTAGAAGAGGAAAAAAACTGTTACAGATAAAACACCTAAAATGGTTTCTGGCATTTGGTGCATACTTAAGTCTTATGTTATTAAAATCATTATTACTGTCATTTCACAATGACCTTGAAAATTTTCTTCTTTTTAATATTTAAATTTTTTGATAGAGACATGATATCCCTTGAGTTCACTATTTAGCCCAGAAAACTCATAGTAATCCTCCTACCTCAGCCTCCTGTGTGCTGGAATTCATAGGTCTGAGGCACCATGCTTGGCAAAAATTTTGTTCCATAATTATTTAAATCTACAGGTAAGAAAATTGAAGCTTCAAATGTTATAATACTTGGCTAATACTGCACAAAAAAGAAAAGAAAAATGAGATTTCTGATGCCAGATCCCATGCATTTAACTACTACATTGTATTACCAAAGTATTATTAATATTTCTAAATTCTTTCAGAATTGCTTGACAGTTCAGAAATATTTGGAAGGTTTGTGTATGTGTATTGGAAAAACACAACAATGGAAAAATAAAAGCAGACAAAAATCTCTGCCTTTGTGAATTCTGATGAATTTCATAGACTTTCCTGATTTATAAGGTCTGAGTAGCAAAGTAAGAATTGCTCTCGAAAGGACACACAACCACCTACACAGCATACACAAATCGTGTACACTCCCAGAGTAGCAGACATATTCACCTAAGGTAACCCTTTTCCCTGTCTGCCCCTGCATTTTGGCTGTGTCTCAGTATTTTGCTCATTGCTGCTATTTTGGAGGCTCTGTCACTCCACCCATGCCGCAAGCTGTCCAGGATATGTCCTGAGTGGGTGGGGCATCCAGAGCTGGCAGGAGGGGCAGAGTGGGATACATACTGAGGCACTTTGGAAAGCCAGCGCCAGGGGCATCAGGGCTGTGTGGTATGAGGGAAAGATCGCTAGGCATAAGTGGTAGGCCAGTAGAACCTAGAGGTCTGTGGGGCCGCTTCACAGGCTGCGGCTCTGCCTCAGCCTTCTTTGCTATGGGGAAGGATGCAGCACTGCATGCTGCTGCTGAAGTGACTGGCGCAGGCGTCCAGGTGTTTACTGGGGCCCAGTCTGGGCTCTCACACTGGTTCTGATGAAGAATGAAGTTGTCCTGCTGAGGTAGTCTTGGGCTCTGCACTGTCATTCTCCCTATGCCACATGATGAAACAAAGGCACAACTTTGCCCTTGGTTAGACCTCTGAGGTCGACTCGGCTCCAGATATAATAGCTCTTTTCTAATTTTCATTTCTGTGCCTGAATCCATTGCTTCTTACTCAGTGTCCTTGTATGTAAAAAGGACAAAACCATATTGTGAGTTTGTGATTGTTGAGAAATGTTAATGAAATAGTAAATGTGAAGTAAATCCTCAGTGAAGATGGATTTCCTTCTCACATCTAGAGAAAAGGATCATCCTGAGGAAGAACAGGACGCGTCATGTGCTTGCTATGAACACTTAACTGCCTGCGGCCTTCCTTCCTCCAGGCTGTCAGACTGGTGGACTCCTGCCCTGCAGAAGCGCATGCTGAGTGACAGTGGTCTGGGAATGATAACTCCCCACTATGATGATGCAGATATAAAAGATCTCAGCCACTCCCGTGTGCTACAGTGAGTCTCTGGCTATTTTATTTTGTGTTGCTGTGATCGCTGGGGGAGGATTTATACCATGGATATCACAGACTGGACTGACTCTCTTCAGGGTCCTCCAGCTGTCTCACCTTTGTGTTATCCTGCAATTTGACATTCTGTTTCCCTTGCTCACTTTTGTCTGCCCCAGACTCTTGATGAGGCTTCATTCTCCCCTGAGGTACCTTGGAGACTTTGCACATAGATCTAGAAGCAGTTTAAACTTTGCCATTGCTCTATTAATTTGTTTTTCTATTAGAGTCCCATATTTATCCTGTGTCCTTGCTTGTTACATCATAAAGACATACAGGAGAGTAATTATGAGAATCTGGAAGTGACACAGTTTTCCACTTGTGTGAGCATTTGCTATTTCCCTTGTTTCTAGACCATAGCCTGTGTGTATGCATTCTGTATATTACTACAGTAGCTTTTTGGTCAAAGTAAGTTCCATTTGTGTGTGGTTGTCTCTGTGAGTAAATAAATGCACAATTTGTTCACAGGTCAAAACAATGGAGGGATTTTCCTCTCAGGTCTGGTCACAGACCTAAGGAAAGCAGGATGCAGGGTAGAATTGTACTTCAGCACTGGTACCTTGTTTGCCCTAAATCCCTCCTTTGCCATCCCTAATTGCAATAGCAGGCTCTGGAGTGCAGCCAGTGGTCACAGACATATTCCTTACATCCCTTTTTAATATTAGCCAGTTGCTCCATCTCAGATTTACATTTATTTACAGCAGCTCCTGAAATAGGCTGGTATTCAGTCCTATCTGAGGTTGCAATAAAATACCGACAATGGCCTGGTAACACGCAGTCTTACCTTTTGACCCAGTAGCAAGATTATTGAAGTGCTCAGAAGACCAGGGTTAACTGAAGAAGCAAAATAGCACATTGTTTCTAAAGGAGGATCAGAAGCAATTTGGTGCAACAAAAGGGAGAAAAATGAGAAATTTCAAGCTAATTATTTCATTGGCAAAGGTTATACTTGGACACTTTGAGGGCAAAAGGAGACTTCATTTGAATTACTTCTCTGTATTTTTTCTTATTTTCTTATGTGAAAAGGAGAACAAAAAAAAGAGAAGTAGTGGATTTTCTTTTTTAATTAAACTGTGTTAGTTTCTGGTGGCATTTTGATTGTTTACAATTCAATGTTTTTCCATTTCCTTTTTATACAGAATTGAGATCTGTAAACCAGATGAGCCAGCCACCCATGAATTAAAGAACTGATCATCTATCTGTGGGCAGACTTATTAGAAAATTAGAGTTTTAATTAGCTGTGGAAATAGAAATTAAGCCTACTCAAGCCAGCTGAATTATTTAGTATTCAGACCATTTTCAAAAAGTGGAATATTATCTCAATTTATACTTTCTGTATAAAATATATTGATGTATATCATGATGTATAAAGTGATTTTTTGTAAGGTAGTATTTTTCCCAAGAATCACAAAAAATGTACCACTTTATATAATAGCCAAGTTCTTAAAACCCAGGATCTAAGTTAATCTTAATTTTATTTAGTCATCCCTCAGTATCTATAGGAGTTGTGATTCCAGGACCCACTGCAGATACCAAAATCTGTGAATGTTCACAAACCACACACAAGCAGAACTTACTTTGCTTGACCCACTGCAGATACCAAAATCTGTGGATGTGCACAATAAAATGGTGCAGTATTAGCATAGAGTACTTACTAGTAAATACTGTATACATTTATTATACTGTATTGTTTAGGGAACACTGACAAAAATATCTGCCTATGCTCAGTATAAACACAGTTTTTATCCATATCTTTTATCTTCACTTGATTGAATCTATGGATCTCTGAATATAGGGAGCCCACTATGTTGTTCTTTTAGGGATTCCTTCTAATTTTGGTTGATCTTCCATTGGCAACTATCAGAATAAATTATTTGATTCTTGATCCAATCCCCAGCCTTTGAGTTGCCTAACTGGACCTCACACACCTGAGATCATATTAGTCATCCCCACTGCAATCTGATTCCCTGAAGACCACTGCACAAAAAATGGATTGTTTTAAGCCACTTTAAAAGCAAATGAAGGACATGCCAAACTAAATACCTTACCTCAACTTAGGGTTAGTTATCATCATCATCATCATCATCAGTTGTTGTAATTATTATTTCCCTTAATTCCTTCGGAGGAGCATCTTTTTATTTCATCTGGAGGTTATCTCTGCTGCAAAATAGGTATAACTGGACTTATGAAAATACCTAATAATATGAGGAATAGCTACTATTGATGCAACACTTCCTGTCTTCTTTGAGGCATAATGACTTATCTTTAGTTCTTTCAACAGCTTTAAACATTAACCATTTTTTAAGATAAGTAAACTGAGGCTAGCAGAGGAGAAACTTTAACTGAATGGCTAGACAGCAGGTGGATAGAGCTAAGGACAGTTTGACTGATGGCTTTTTCTTTTGTCACTGTATTGTGCTGTTTTCTTAAAGAGATCACAAAAAGTCAGTACACCTAGAGCCCCAATTCCCAGGGCCCTAGGAAGATTTACTTTGATTTCTGTTTGTAATGTGCAAATTTTGATACTACAGAAATACTACCCTATATTAACTGTTCAATTGTGAACTTATGTGAAAGTTGAAAACTAATCTTAAAAGTTGCTTCATTTTTAAAAACAACATTGAAGAAGAGACATTGAAACACAAACTAATGTTAGACTTCTGTTTTAAAAGTGTTAAGTATATATTACATATATCCTAATGTAAATAGGTACAAAAATTATACAGAAGACACTCCTCTGATTTATTTTACCCACTCCTCTGATTTATGATGTTATTATTTTGCTTTGCATAGATTTTCTTTCAAACCTTAAACAATATAAAGAAATATAAAATGTGCATTGTTTTGTGATTTACTCTGTATAACTTTTTATCACTACTTGACTCACACCATATATGTGTGTGTGTGTGTGTGTGTGTGTGTGTGTGTGGAGGCTTTAAGTAATTTTATTTGGTATGAAAGGTTTTTCCAGGAAGAATATTCACAAATCAGCACATGAAATGGCTGTGGTGGCTCTGGCCTGTCACCACAGTGTATCTGTAATTGGAAGGCTGAGGCAAAAAGATCACTACTTGTTTGAGGGCTATATAATGAGTTCAAAGTCAACCTGAGCTACATAGAGAAACCTTGTTTCAAAAAAAAAAAAAAAATTAAGGAAAAAGAAAAGAATCAGTATGAGAAAAGAACCTGAAAGTAATTGTAACTCTATTGCCATTTGCTGCTTTCAGCTTTAAAACTTCAGTGAACTCTGAGATAAGAACTGTTCAATTTCTGATTGACAGTGCTAATTACCACTAAGAAGAAATCAAAAGGGAAGCTTTAAAAATGTTTAGAACTAAAAACAGTCCTGGGGTTTTTAGGATATGATTAAAATATCATTCACAGAATGGTTTCCAAGAGTAACTTAGAAAAAAATATATACAAATAAGCAAAGCATTCAGTTTGATAGAAGTCTTTCTTTAAAGAATAAAAGAATGATAGAAAATAAAGAGTGAAATCAATGTGAAGGAGAAAAACAAAGTAAATAACCAGGATTTTTAAAAAATTGATTCTTTTGAAAGATAAGAAAGGGGATGAAATTCCAGGATTTCCTTTTTTTCAACTTCATATAGAAAACAGAAAGGAAGACATACAGTGCTTTCACTGGTTCACTCTTCCTCCAGGAGCAGAGGCCACTTGAAGGTCTTCTGCCATTCAAGTGCTAACAAACCCAACTGCTTTGGGTCTCGGGGCTTCTTCTAGTTTTAACAGTTAGTTTCTTGAATGCATGCAGACCCTTCCTTTAGAAAGAATGAGAAAGTATGAACCAACAGGGTAAATAAGATGAATGCGTTATATTTCTGTAATTACTATACTAATTGCATTTCTGTTGTCTCTATTTAGAACCATTATAATATTAAAGGAAGTAGGTATATGGCCACTTGTGCACGGGTCCTCCAGGAAGGACTGTGATCAAACAGTGTCACAAAGTACATCTAGTGCCTTCAGAGCCTGTGAATATAGTGAAGGATTTTTTTTTTTTCTTGTATTGTGCTTGGGATGAGCTGAAGGCCTTCACATCCTCAGCCCCTTTTCAAATTTTATTTTTTATTTTAAGCTAGAGGTCTCACTAAGTTGCCCAGGTTGGGCTTGAACTTTTGATCCTCCTTCCTCAGGTTCCCAAGTGTTAGGATTTCAGGTGTGTGCTATTGTGCCTAGTTTAGGACAACCTTTTAAGGACTAGTTTTGAAAAGATTTAATGAGAAATGGTTGACTTCCATTTTATAGTTAGTACCATAATGAATTTAAGTTTTTAAAATTCTGTTTGATGTCTAAGAAAGTTCTACTTAAAATATGATTCTGAAAATATATTCTTTTTTTTTGGTCTTTTTCATTTTTATCGGTACCAGGGATCAAACTCATGATTGCCTGCTTGCAAGGCAGGCACTTATACTGCTAAGCTAAATCCCCAGGCCCTGAAAATATATTCTTATCATTAATTGTATCAACACTATTTGTAACAAGATTGTATTTCTTCTTGGTAGATGACTAACAAGGAGGTGAACAATTTAAATTTTAGTAGAAAGAATCTGTTTGCATCCAAAGGAAGAACATTATGTTTTTCTGTAACTTTAGGATTATGAGATAGAAAAATAAGCATTGCATAAAGATCGTGTTGTCTTCTTTACACTCACCTGTGAGTGAAATGGGTCAAGAGCAGACAAGTAAAGAAACTAGGAGATAGTTCACTTCTTAGATATTTTAGTTTACTAAGTACAATAACTTAGGGCAGATTTCAATCCAAACTATTGCAGGTATCTTGTTACCTGCCAGCTGAGGACTATTGTCTTCTTGTGATTGGCAGAATCTTTCTTTCTCGAATAATAGATAATATTTTCCAAGACTGAACTATAATGAATTAAGTCTGATTTGTGCTTTTATTTGAATTCTAAGAAACAAAATCAGTCAGTT